CAGCATGCTTGCAACAGCATCCCTGTGACACACAACACCAGCGCGGGGGGAAGCACGGCACCTGTTCCCCACCACGACCAACCTCAACAAGGGGAAGAAGACCTCAACTACCCACGCAGCATCCAGACTTCCGTGAACGCCTTCTACGCAATGTACAAGCTCACCCACGGCTGCTGGGAGGTTGTCGTACAGTACGACCACGACTACATCCCTGACATAGGGGGAAATGGCTCCCACACCGACCCCACCACAGGGCTCCATGTGGCCATATGGAGGGGGACCGTGGACCTGCAGACACAGCTCCAGCGTTCAGCGCGGGCACGCGCATCCGTTTCACACAGGTCGGTGACGCATTATGGTACGCGTTTGTCATCGAGGCACCCATGGCCCAGTTTCATGAACCTGCCAGCCTCCTCATCGCAGAGGGGGACCAACTCTCCTTTGGCAGGGGAGGGGGGACACTGGTACATGGAGGTGGAGCAGTACAGTACAACAGCTGCAGCCGACGTCAAGCAAGCGCGCCAGCAGGTCGCTCGGAAGCAAAGAGGCAGGGGGAGTGCCTCACAACCACCACCACAAGCCCAACCACAGACCCGGGACACACAGCCTGCGCAGCCCACCACGACCACTCAGCTCGGAGCTCGACAGACCCCCCACCACCACCAGCCCGTCAAGGCTCCAAGGAAGCGGGGGACACAGACAAGCCACAGAGTTACAATACCTCCACACCCCACGTGCAGACCTTCTACCCGACGCGACCAGCACCACAACACACCCAGACAAGTCCTTCGGGGCCGGCGGAGCATTCGCGTGGACCTCGTCCACAACCACAAGCAAACAAGCACCCTCTCCTCGACGATAGACAGCTCCGACGAGGGCAGCGACAACAATCAGCACACACGGAACATGGCCACCAGCCTCCACACAACCCCCCTCAAGCTCCAGCGCCACCGCATGATGACCACTTCTACCCGAAGGTCCGTGACAAACGTAACATCGGGGGAAGAGAACACCCGACCACTACACTGGCACCATCACCAGCACCATCACCTGCAGAAGCGGACAACGACGGCGACCGCGACCACGTCGACCTCATGCAACAGAGCAACCCACGCCATCCCTTACACAGACCTAGCGCAACACCAAGCATGCCACACAGCCACCACAACCCCGTGCCTCCTGCCATACAGGCAAACCCACAACCTGCCACCGTCCCGCTCCAGCCACCTACTACTCACCTGCACCTGCCGCAGCAGCCCCTTACAGCCATCAGCGGTGCTGCCACCCCTGCTACTGTCCCGGCGACAGACCAAACCACACTCCCACTACCAGGAGGTGAGGAACTGCCAGCACAACAGCCGCAGACTGGGGGAAAGCCCCTCTGGCAGCAGCTCGAAGCACACCTCATAACCCTACGGCGGCTCTCCGAACGCTTGCCAGGGGGGAGACCTATATACAACAGATCGCAGACAGCGCCCTGATAGATGTACTGCTTTACACAGAAGCAGACGAGCACATTACCACGATCTCGGCAGACATAGCTCAGAGAGGTGAGGGGGACCAGGGGGATGCTTCTACACACCCCCCCAAAAGGCCGAGACCTGCCCGGGGAAGGATGACAACGGCAAAGGCCATACTACGCCTGGCCGACCTCGCTAGGCTCCAGCTTTCACAGCACGCTCATGTCAACCTGTGTCATGCAGAGTTTATGCCACCCATAGACGCGCTCGTGCAATGGCTACAACGCATGGCGGGGGATTGGCTTGCAGACCGTGGAGTACCGGAGATGATGCAAATACTCCGTGAACTACTTCTGAAAATAGCAGGGGGACGGAGTGCACTAACACAGGATGACTGGCGACAACTGCTTGATGTCTGCCTATCCCTTCGAGCCCTCTTTGAGACGACAGAGGGGGATATCGATGCGCAACTGATGGAGGCAAGGTCTGTAGAGGACGTCGACCCCTTCGAGCAGATTGCCGTTACCTTGCCTTTGTCTTCGCGGGGGACACTACAAGACGCACAAGCCAAGCTCTTAGAGCTACTGCGCCAGACATCCGCGCTCTTGGCCCTCCAAACAGAGGATGGGGGAGGTGCTCCAGAGGCACCGCTTGCCTTGGGAGCCCCCGCAATGCCGGCATGGTGGGACCAAGACCGTCACCATGGACTGGGGGATACGGCCCGTGCATCAGAGTCCAAAGGTTCTGGAGCGCAGCAAGGGGGAGCCAGCCAAAACGGGGGAGAGACCGATGACGATGACATGTCCGACTCTTCCCATAGACGACGGCGAGCCCTTGCAGAGCATGCACACGAGTACTTCTGAGCGACGCTGACCGTGAGGGTAACTACGAAGGGGGATCCGCCTGTACACACACTGTTTTCTTTCTGCCAGGGTTTCTTGAGTTTTGAGGTTGCTTCAGTGGGTTGCTTGCTTGCTTTGGGGGGATCCCGTCTTTAAGGGGAAAACATGCCCCGTGCCACCAACATGGCCAATAATGCTTCCTTTTGCATGGCTAGCTGCCACGAGTTGCGATGCAAGCCTCCCTTCGACATGTCACAAGGCCAGACTTCCTAGTGTGTTCGTCTATGTTTACTTATCTGTTGCGGTGCACCTGCACTTGCTTCCTGTTAAAGTAGTGACAAAGACGGGGGAGACGACCTTGACTCTCATGTGCAGGTCTCGGCTTATGCGGAAAGGGGAATTTTTCCTCGCACTGCTGCCTACGATAGTATTGGTTTCCGTGATGGTTCCGAGGACGACGTAGGACGAGACCTGGTGAAACTCCTTTCGTCCACATGCTGCGGGGGACACACTCCTACACTTGTCTACTGTTTGGTTCTGACACGTAGGACATCCAATTCCTCTTCCCCAAGTGTTTGTTGCTACACGTCCGCCCGTCGCATTACAGCGTGGACCTGAAGGGGGGAAAAGAACTGTATGTGAGTACTTAGCTCGCAAAGATATCGGGAAACCCGCCATTGACCAATCCTCATGTTATTGGCCTAGGTAGACTCATTTCGCAACCATATATCTTTTTCTCTACAACTGACGGGGGAACCATATCTTTTTACGGGCTCCGACTGTTG